ACCTGTCAACAAAGTAAAATGATCGTATTTGAGTCCCTTGAATCGAAACCCAAACCCTAGTGATTAGGATCGTATTAGATCACAAAGTCAATAATATAAATATGTACTTTTCTTGGGTCATTTCTTCAAGTGAGAAGAATGCAACACTGTACCTTCTTCAGTTGGTTCCTCGGTAGACCCCTCAGTTGGTTCCTCGGTAGGTTCCTCAGTTGGTTCCTCGGTAGACCCCTCAGTTGGTTCCTCGGTGGGTTCCTCAGTTGGTTCCTCGGTGGGTTCCTCAGTTGGTTCCTCGGTAGACCCCTCAGTTGGTTCCTCGGTGGGTTCTTCGTTACCCTTGAAGCACCAAGGCACGTTGGGTACTGTCTCATCAAAACAACAACCTCGCTCGGTTTCGCATTTTTCCCGTCCTATCCCATAATAGCCACAATCTTCTCGTTCCTCCGGGACAATTCCATAGCATTTGTTATCTGGAAGAGAAAAGTATAACTCTCTTATATTACAAGTCAATTTAGAACTTAAATGCCTTGATGCAATGATTGGCTAAGAAAAATTAAAACCTTTTTACCAGTAGTCCACTTCTTGTCGAATGAAAACACAAGAAACGAACCTTCCTTCGGTCCTTTTCTTCTAGTGAAAATAATGCAACTCTGTACCTTTCTCAGTTGGTTCCTCGGTAGGCTCCTCAGTTGGTTCCTCGGTAGGTTTCTCATTTTGTTCCTCGGTGGGTTCTTCACTACCCTTGAAACACCAAGGCACGTCGGGTACTGTTTCATCATAACAACAACCTCGCTCGTCCTCGCATTCTTTCCGTCCTATCCCATAATAGCCGCAATCTTCTCGTTGGTCTGGGATAATTTCGTCACATTTGTTATCTGGAAAACAGAAATGTATAATGCTGCTTCATTTAATGTTATAATTTTAATTAAAGCCTTGATGGACTGATTCATCAAGGAAAGTTATAACCTTTACTAGTATTCTAATTCCTCAATTGAGAACAATGCAACTCTGTACCTTCCTCAGTTGGCTTCTCGGTAGGTTCCTCAGTTGGTTCCTCGGTAGTTTCTTCAGTTGGTGCTTCAGTTGGTGCTTTCGCACCCTTGAAGCACCAAGGCACGTTGGGTACTGTATGATCAAAACAACAACCTTGTTCGTTCTCGCATTGTTCACGCTGTATCCCAAAATAGCCGCAATCTTCTCGTTCCTCCGGAACAATTCCGTAGCATTTGTCATCTGGATAATGAAAAAAAGGTATGTTAATTTAGAATTTAAAAGCCTTGGCAGACTGATTGGCATGAAAGTTAAGACCTTTAGTAAACTTTTCAGGGAAGTTGGCTCGCGAGAGCGCCAGAGTATTATAGATTCGCTGATGTATTTGTTGAGTTCACTGCATGCGGAGATTTCTTTGACTTTCCTCAACTCATTCTCTGAACTCAATTGACCTTCCAGGAATAGCTATTTTGTTGTCTTAACATAAAGAACGAAAATCAAATAGAATCTCGCAGGTCGTAATATCAGTTCACTGGTGAAATTTTTATCGTTTGAGTCGGAAAGATTTTTATCTTGTAATATTCCTTAGAAAAAATTCAGTACTTATTAAATAGTAATGTGGAGGCGCGGTGGCCTTATGGTTAGTTTGCTGGTCTCCGGATCGAGTGGTCCGGGTTCGAGCCCTGGCCGGGGACATTGCCTTGTGTTTTTGGGTAAGACACTTGACTATCACAGTGCCGTTCTCCACCCATGTGTACAAATGGGTACCGGCGAATTTAATGCTGGGGGTAACCCTGTGATCGGACTAGCATTCCATACAGGGGGAATAGATTATTCCCACTTGGCTCGTATGTAGACTTTACCGAAATAGTATTATTAGACAGTATTATCATACATTTCCCTTGGACTGCATACTAACCAGTTGGATAAAAGCAGGTTATAGTGTTATAGCCGTAGTCGGTGTCGTCATAGCAACACTCCCTGCCTTCACAGGTGTACTCGTCAATACCATACCATCCACAATCATTGCGGTCGTCAGGAAAAACGCTGCATTTGTCAGCTGTATTGGAAAGATACATAACTGGTTTCGCTAAATTTATTTCTACATTTTTGCGACTGTGTTAAGTTACATGAGAAATTCGCTCACTTCTTATCTTTACTATCCTGACGTTCTCCATAAATGTCTTAATACAGTAGAATCTTTCTTCGTAGGTGTCCTTCCCACAAAAAAAAAAAAAANGAATTATTTTTCAGAAAAGGTAAAGGAACCACCATAAGATTGTAAATTGACAGTACTTAAGAAGATCCTGAGGGCTAATACTGAGTGATTTCCTGTTTTTTTTTTTTTTGATGCGGGATGCTGAAGCCAGTAAACGCCAAAATGTCCGCATCAGTGGCATTGGGTTAAATTAGGCGGTTATCAAATACGATCGTTGATACATGAAGCGACAATCCCCCAGAGTGTGTCAGCATTTTCCTGTATTTTCATTTCTTCATACACCTATCAAGTTCCGGTATAAAACATATTCCAAAACGTACTGGGTTAGAGGCTGCCTACTTTGGTCCTTATCTACCCGTCAACATTCTGCCGGCCAAATTTCACCGAAATCTGTCCACATTATATACCCTATTAATTCATGTAAAGAGGAAAGATTCGCTCGAATTGAAACGAGTGTGAGTTTTCCCCCGGCAAAAGATTTATAAACATGACACGCCTTCTCAGAGAGTTATGTCACGAAAAGCCACCAGCCAATGAAATAAGAGAACTTCTTAGCTGGTCCACGCGTAGTCTCTTTTTCGCTTAGTCCGTTATGCTTGACGCGAGAGAAAGCCGCGCAAGATAAAAAAAAAAAAAAAAAACANAAGAAAAAAAAAAAAAAAAAACATGGCCCCGCAAAATTTGGCGCTGCCATTTTTATCCCTCGCGGTTTCATTTACTGTCACGCTCTAAGGACTAAGCCTAGCAGTTTGCAGCAAAATAGATTTTCTGGGAGCGACAGTTTCACGGTCACGTTCTTCCAGCCTGTTTGCTTTGTGCTCGCGTTAGTCAACAATGGGGAGAAGTGGTAAACAGAAATCGCTATACTAGACAACCAGAGGATTTCTAAAACCAAATGCTCACGCACGGCGGACAATAGTTCGAAACAGAAAGTGATCACTGGTTAAAAAAAAAAAAACAACAACAACAACCAACCAACCAACCAACCAACAAACACACGTTGATCGTTGACTTCAAATGATTCTCGGTTACCTTAAAGCATGTTTGTGTTAAAGTATATTGATGTTTTGCTTAGGCCACTACGCCTCGAGCTAATCTCTGACTATCGTGTGACCGCAGAATTTTGATGTTCAGGAGTTCTGCTCAGTGAAGAAGGCTAGGAAAGCTTACTATTGGCGATGTTCATTTTGGCCAATAATGGTGCTTTTTTTACCTCTACTGATTTTTGTCAGTCCGTTTGCTCAATAGAAGTGTATTCTTTAAAGAATTCGTAATCTAGTTTCATAATTTTTCAAGGCCTATGTGTAGCCCAGACGATTGGCTTTGTCCTTAGTGACGGCAAAAACCGTCACATGGTATACGAATAAGTAAGTTTCTGTTCCCAGCTCTTCTGAAAGACACTGTTCTTTACTTTAGTTTCTTCGGGATGAAATACTTCGTTTCCCCTCGAACGCATGATTAGTCCCTCTCGGTAACATGTAGTCGTATTTGAAATTTCACTTACCGGGTCCATCGAACAATCGCCAGAAGCCTAAATTTCTGCCCAGGGCTAATGGAGCCAGGGCAAATAAAGTGAGCAAAGCTACAATCTTGGAGTTCATTTTCTTGACCTGCAAAGGAATTCTACAACTTAACAATAAATATAATATATAAAACAGGCCTCCCACGTAGTCCAAATGTACCCCGAGGCCCGTTAAGCCCGCTATTCACAAAATTGAAAACAAAAACTTCATCATTACATTGTTTCTGGAAATTTTGTACGATTATTTGAGGCGCGAGTGGTGTAGAAGCAAATACCAACCTTTAGAACTGACCGAGAAATAGCCAAAGCAAATATCTTTTTTTGTTACTGTATAATTCCAAATAGTTCTTGAGAGTTGCGTGCACATTTTAAATTCTTTTCGAGCGTGCACGTATTATAGATGCTTTCTTAATCATCTACTATTGTCAAAGTTTTGGACAATTAATCTTTCACCCTTTTGTCACAGGAAGGGAGGGGAACCATTGAAAGTGTTGACTAATAATTTATTACGTAAGCTGGATTTTGGATTCGACTATTTTTGAACTTTTTTGGGGAATCTTCAGCTGAGAGGTAGTTGGGTGACTTATCTCAACAATGTTAGGTTCCTTGCTTAGTATGACGAACTGTTTGCATCAGTGATTTGATGTCAAGAGTCATGCAAGACTAGCTCTCAAAAACAAATTTGCACCTTTAATTTTACACTGGACCTTCTCTTTGTTTCATAACCAAGTTACCGTGACATGATAATTTTAAGCGCCAAAATAAATTATACCTATTCAGTGAGCAGTTGGACCTCGCTGATTTGAACACGGCTATTTCGAATTTCACGTTATTTCGAACTGAAAACATTTCTCCTGGATTTGGCGTTCAGTCATTTACTTTCGGCTATTTCGAACTCCCGCGATTTCGCGCGATCTATTTTTCGTATCCCCTTCTAGCTCAAAATAGCGGGGTTTAACTGTACTTGGGAACACTTTTGCATAATTTGTTTATACTGAATTTGTTTACTCATTGTATCCCGGTGCGGAAAGTTTACTGTTCAGTAGTTCTGCAATCCAGCGATTTCGATATGTCCATCAAACGAAGGATGTTCGTATTTTCGTTTCCCATGCTAAAAGGCGGGAACTCCATTGAAGCTTTTCTAAGCGCGCCACACTATTTAACCGCAAATTGTTTTATGTATCAATATTAACCCAGGATACTCGTTTGGTTTAGTAATCCGTGCGTAACCTTGATGATGTTCACGTGCCAAAATCCATTATGCTAATTAAAGAGCAATTTTATAATAGTTAGAACCCTGTTGCATAAACTTGTCACTGCAGTGCATTTCGCTGCAAAATTAATTTTTTCCACAATTTTTCTCGCTAAAAATCTATAAATTGCCGAACTATCGACTTCGGTAGTCGGTTTTCTATAAAGGTTGTTATAATAAGATCTTTGTTTAGCTCAATACATGCATCGTTTTGTTTTCCAGCTAGTCCCAGAAAGGCGGGAACTCCGTTAGGACGTGCATAAGAAACTTCTGCCTGATCATCCGGAGACTATGGTTTGCCGTCTTTAAGATCGCTCTTTTGAAACAATTTCTGGCACATACAGACCCTGAACATATATCATTTCGCAATCAGCAGCAGAACACTAGGGGTATCTTAAACCTAGTGACGGAAATAATTGTCAAAGTAACATTCATTTACCCAGTGGTAATTTTCATAAGCAGGTACAAGAGACTGACTTTGGTGCCAATTTTGTGCCTGAATAATTGGCTAATCTGTGAATGTACTCAAACATGAGCATAAAATCTGCAGAATGAACTCCTTTACAAGGTTAAAAGAATGTTTCACTCCGTAACTTTGCCAATGATATATCCGCGCTGACAATCCAACAGACAGTGAGATCAAAGAATAATCGTGGAACCCTTCTATAAATCGAAACTTAAAAGAATAAGGCGTTATCGAGCCCTCTCATTCTTGAGTATTTTCGACTTACCTTGAAGAATTTTCTGCCTTAGCTTTCAGACGATCGGTGTAGAGCAACGCTGGCAACCACTTAACAATTTTCCCGCTATTGTTCACAACAGCAAGAGGAAGATTGGGGCGATATACCGTGCTCCTAGTGGTTTATAGCAACGTGCTATGCAGTGGAGGGCTGGCACTAAACAAAACTTCGTTCCGCTCCAGAAACCTGGAGATTCTTGGACTTATTGTTTGCTTCTTTTGTTTACCTTATTTATTCTATCTATAGATTTCCTATCAGTTTATATTTCTTCTTTTAGCTATCGCTGTTCATTTGGTTTTAGCCTTAGACTCAAGTCTTGATTTCCGAAACTCATTACACGTAGAAACAATACCTCTCGGGTATTGCCTTGCATACACAACGACTGCGCTTGCATAAAATTAATACAAGCGTTATCCAAAAGCTTGCTGTTCAAACAAAAGGACACTTTTACTTTATAAATAACAAAAATAAAGACAAGGTTAAAGCTGGTTAGGTCTTAAAACGAGGATTCTGCTCTGAATTTGACGGTAACTTAGTTCGATAATACTTTATTAAGCTCATTCATAAAATTATCAAATAACTTAACATCTAGAAATAACACACACACACACACACAAAAATTAAAAATTATTCAATATTTATACTGAAAATGAAGTTCGAGCTTGAGAACATAATTAAATTGTTTGTGTTCTTCTTAGCTCCTCGTACAATTTAAGTTCTATATAAGCCAAATCAGAGTTTCAAGAATTGGTGCATTGTGCACACGTTTTTATCCCTAATCTATTCTCATCTTCTGTTTTCTTTTTTTAAATAACAAAGAAGACAATAAAGTAGGGACAAAAACGCATGCCACTGCATTAATTCTTGAAACTCCGATTTGNAGCAGGTATAGACCAGCTTAAGAGGTTATATTATGCAGTTCTTCATGAGAGACAGGATCCTTCTGAGACTTCCGAGGGTCTGACACATACATATATTAACCCTGGTCATAATCCTGATCATAATGTCAGGCCACGGTTTGGGAAAAATTAAATAAGCGCTCCCCTCGATTAAGCGACTCCCTCGAATAAGCGCCCCCCGTCTTCTCCTAAATTTGAAATAAGCACTCCGGGCGCTAATTCGAGGATTTACGGCACCCAGTTTTGGTGGCAAGTCGGAAATTTATGCGCAAAGAAAAAAATTGTCAAAATTTTTTTTCCTCTTTTGTACATATTTTATGGCATTTGAAACCCGGCTCTTTTCGAGAAATTCATTGCCCTCACTTAAACCGAAACTATCGATTGCATTTTTGGTTGACATCAATCATAAAATTACGACGACAAGCAACGAAACAATCGCAACCCGTTTAGGCATGACCCTTTAAACACTCCGAAGTAACCCCCTGAAAATTGGAGTCAATCATTCTGCATTCAGCCGCCTGGAGGGGGTGGTGGGTTCAGCAACCGGAAAAAAAAAACAAAACAAAACAAAACAAAAAACAAACAAAAAAACAAAACAAAACAAACAAAGACAAAACAAAACTACACTGATCCGACGCAACACGTACAAAAGGCATTTACTGCGTCTTTCACGTGAACACCACTCAATAGACGGTTTCCCGTTTCGCCGTGAACTGGGCAAATGTGAAGAGGCGGGTTTGAAAAGTGTCACAGTGTATTGGTATCTCGATGCTGATGACTTTCGCTTTGGCTCTCTCTTTCTCCGAGTTGGCACTGCCTAATCATTGTCCTGACTAAGTAACTTTACACCACCAAGTTTCGGTCTAAAATTGGCGTACTTGAGAATTTGGTCTTATGAACTTATGACTAGGAAAAGAAAATTATTTATCAAAGGAAGATCGAAGCAGCGCAGCTGTGAGACAGGGAGAGGGGTGGGGAACAAGTGAGTTGGAGGACACGTGGGGTAATGTGGAAACGTAAGATAAATGAAGGAAATATAGGGTGACACGGACTACGCATTTTCTTTAAAGGCCAACAAACCTTTCATATATTTATACTTATCAATCGAAATTGTGTTCTCTTACTCAATATTAACCAGTGACAGGAGCACCTGGAGTCATGGGCTCCTGTCAGTGAGATATTCAGGCTGACCTAAGTCACTTACTAATTCAGCTTCATAGTTGCCCCTTGCTGTTTTGATAAATGATAGAGGACTTATTGGATTCAGTTTGGAGTAAAACGTGTGATGGGATCATGATGTTATGTTACGGTACTGAAGCTGACGCTCTGTAAATTAAAGGAAACCCTCTCAAACTCCTCTATCTTTCCATTTCTCTCAAATATCTTCTCAGGAATGAACAATTTATAGACTGCCCCGGCCTTCTCAAACGAGATGATCAACTCGACACTCAAGACACTACATAAGTGTTTTTTTTTTTTTCATTTTCAGCGACCATGTTTATTTCATCATATTATTATTTTTTAACACCATTTATTACCAATTTATATTAAATGGCACTGATATTCGTTTTCATTTATGGGGAAAGCTCCTCGCCATTTCTTTTATATTTCATCCCTCTGTGAAGTTGAAAACAAGTATAACGTTGTTTTAGCATAACATAAACACTAAATACTAGTTTTAAAAGTTAAAAAACTGCTAGGACAAAATGTTACTTTTAAAGAAATGTATCAGGTCGCGCAGACAATGCAGTATCCGGGATTACCGTAATGAGCCGATTTAGCGCCCTCCTTCCATTAAGCGCCTCCTTTCGAATAATCGCCCCCCTTCGAATGTGTTTTTATTAAGAAGTGCCCCTATTCCAATAAGCGCCCTTATTCTAATATTATAACATAACAGTGCCGTCATAGTACGTATCAACGGAGGTTCATCTCTCTTAATAGTGCCGCATCATAAAGACAATGAACTTCGTCCGTGTTTCCCGACCATTATGTCCATGTGAATGCATAATTTCTTCAAACGAATGATTTCTTGTTCAAGTTTTGTTTTGAACATTCGACGGTTTCTCAAAAAAGAAATAAGCGTTCTGTCACGAATAAGCGTCCTGTCTCAAATAAGCGCCTTCCCTTGAGGTACCAAAAGTAAATAAGAGCCCCGGGCGCTAAATCGAATCATTACGGTAGTTATGTAATTTTCCTGATATAGTCATACTATTAACCCCATCAAGACGGACGCGAGAAGGGAGTTTGAGGCCGTCATTCAACTTTGAAGGCTTGTAACTTAGAAAAGCGTTGAAACAATAGACACCAAATTTGGCGACTTTCCTAAAATTTATCTGGAAAAATTTTAGTATGACGTGTCATCGGTCAAAGATATTGACATTTCTTTGGCAGCTATATCGTATTGAGAAGCATGTTTTCCAAATTTTAACCAACTTAGGCCAATTTGACTTCCTTAGTTATTTTCACCGTTTCTGGTCGATTTCTGACTATTTTTTGAGCCATTTTTGAAAGCTTTCTATTGTTTAACGATAAAAATCATAAAAATCCAAGATGGCGGCCATATAGATGCATGCCAGAAATGATGCCGTTGTGTCCAAGTCGGATATGAGGTCCTTTGTCATCTTCTTTGTTGTTGACCTCAAGGAAAACTTTTTTGTCTCACTTCACGTACTTTAATTAATTTTCTAAAGTGATGGTGAGCGCTGAGAGTAAGGGAGATTGGGGATTAATGGGCGCCGATAGAGGAAGAAAAACAAAGGTGTAAGCAGACCAAAGAAAGCTCCATCTTAATAGGGTTAATTTCGCTTTCGAACAGGCTCCCGGTGAGGACGGCAAAAAAGAATTGGGCGAGCAAAGCGAGCGGACGAGCGCGAAACTGAAGAATTTGGAGAGCGAAGCGATCGGTGCTGGACGCTTCGGTCGGGCTGGCGGGGAAGCTGTTCGCAGGCTAGGTTAATTAAGCATCAATAACTAGAAATTTGACACTTCTATCATCTGTAGAGTCTTCCTCCGCCAATCAATTTGCAGCACTTGCAGTAGTGTATACATTGGAGAATTCAACTAACTTAAAATATTCTTACTTGGAACTCCTTGAAAGCAATGAGGGACACCTTGACCAACGTTTTCGTCAAAACAACAGCCCTTTCCTTCACAAACATCCCTGCTTATTCCCGGAAAACCACAATCTTTCCTATTTTGGGGAAGGATTCCGTGACATTGGTGGTCTGTTGAGAGAAACAAAATACTTTAAGGACAGTACATCGCTGGGTACAGAACAAATCGTGGCTGACTGTATAAAACTATATGACATAATTTAATATCTAAAATTCCCCCCGGCCCACTT